GAAAAGGGGTTTCTAGCCCATTGCCCCGGCATTTTAGCGCTCAACGACACCATGGCTTACGGAGGGAAAAATTTTTCCACTTCCCCCTGGCAAAAGAAGAAAAAAAGAAACAAAACTATTTAGAAAAAGGAAAAAAACCCTAAAATGATGTAATTTTAAAAGAAATGTGCTGTCTGTAAGTGGGGACCAAAGTGTAAGTAGGAGTAGCAAGATACCCCTTTTATCTAGCGTTTTTAAAATGAGACAAAAAAGAAACCAGCAATCCTACCTCATGCAAAACAGTTAAAAGGTTTCTGTTTCACAGTCATCTGCAGGACGGTATTTATTTTCCCTGGGGGGTTTTGCTGTCTACCAACCTACTCCCTTTTTTTTTTTTTATTTTTTTTTTTTAATCACACCGGCCAAATTCCCCCCAAAGGGCCGGGGGGCCCCGAAAAAAAAAACTTTCCCCATCATTCACCCTTCACTGTTTTGCCAAAAGGGGGTGCTTTCCCACTACATTTTTTTAAAACTGCAACATTAAAAACCCCCCCTTCAGAGTGCAGGCACTGTATTTCCCCAAATCCCCCCGAATCAAGCCGGGCCTGCCGGTTTCCCTGAATCCCAATAAATTTATTTTGCTCACATTTCCAACACACTAAAAAAAATTAAAAACCTTTTGGCCCTCCATTCCCCTCCTATAAAAACACGCTCACGCATGCCTGCTGAAGTCCAAGCCCCCCGCACACAAAAAACCCCCTTTAACCCCCCCCCTCCCCCCCAAACCCTTTCCCAGGCCGACCCCCACCCCCCTTCCTTCCACTACAGACTGATACCTCTTGGAAACATTTTGTTTCCTCCATTTTCTCTACATGTTCCAACCACCCCCAACAACCCTTTCCCAGCCCCCTGGACCAAAAGTTTTTTTTTAAACCCGCACCTCCCCCTAACTTCCCCAAAAATTTCGAATTCTTGCATTATATTCACACCACACATTGCCCCCCAGACATGCCCTCTCCACTGCCTCCCCCCTTCTCCCGCTGCAAACATCCTTTTACCCCCGCTTCAAAAACCCCCTTAAAAAAAGAGCGTTGGGAAAACTAAAACTCTCATACATTCCCCTCCTTTTCCTCCAAGGGCAAATTTTTTGTCTCCACAGACTCCTAAGTCACCCTCACTCCCTTTTTTCCCTCATCAATTCAAAGATTCACCTCACTTTTAAAAGACCCATTTTCTGACAAAGTCCCCCTCCCAAATATCTGAATAAATTCACCTCCTCCATAAACCCCTCCCCCCAACTGATAATTCCAAACTTTCATCACCCAGTAAAAATTATCCCCTATAATTTTTACAAACCCTTTTGTCCCCTTTCCCTTTATATAAAGGGGTTTTACACTCTCCACCAATAAATTAGGTACCTTCCCCCCCTTTTTATACATTTATTAAAAAAAAAATACCACCACTCCAAAACAAAATCCCCCCCCGCTTTTAACATTTTTGTCATGATCCCATCAGTTCCAGCTGCTTTACCCCCTTCATTCTACATAATGCCTCACGTACCTCCACCACACTTACATTCTGCTTCTCACTCCTAAAAGATGGTATACCTCCCTGGCCAGTGCATGAAATTAACCGCCTCCCTCATCTTCCTCAACATTTAAAAGTTTCTCAAATATTCTCGCCATCTACCTAATACCTCCCCTCCCCATCTACTAACTCCCCTACTCTGTTTTTAACTGACAAATCCATACTTTCCCTAGGCTTTCTTAACTTGTTTAACTCACTCCAAAAAATTTTCATATTTTCATAAAAATTTCTTGACAGTTCCTCTCCCACTCTATCATCTGCTCTCCTTTTGCACTCTCTCACCACTCTCTTCACCTTTCTTTTACTCTCCATATACTCTGCTCTTCTTATAACACTTCTGCTTTGTAAAAACCTCTCATAAGCTACCTTTTTCTCTTCTATCACACCCTTTACTTCATCATTCCACCAATCACTCCTCTTTCCTCCTGCCCCCCACCCTCCTATAACCACAACTTCTGCCCCACATTCTAAATATTGCATTTTTAAAACTATTCCAACCCTCTTCAAACCCTCCCCCCCCCCACTACTCATCTTTGCAGTAGCCCACCTTTCTGCCAATAGTCGCTTATATCTCACCCGAACTTCCTCCTCCCTTAGTTTATACACTTTCACCTCCCTCTTACTTGTTGCCACCTTCCTCTTTTCCCATCTACCACTTACTCTAACTGTAGCTACAACTAAATAATGATCCGATATATCAATTGCCCCTCTATAAACATGTACATCCTGGAGCCTACCCATCAACCTTTTATCCACCAATACATAATCTAACAAACTACTTTCATTACGTGCTACATCATACCTAGTATATTTATTTATCCTCTTTTTCATAAAATATGTATTACTTATTACCAAATTTCTTTCTACGCATATCTCAATTAAAGGCTCCCATTTACATTTACCCCTGGCACCCCAAATTTACCTACTACTACCTCCATAACATTTTTACCCACTTTAGCATTGAAATCCCCAACCACCATTACTCTCACACTTGATTCAAAACTCCCCACGCATTCACTCAACAATCCCCAAAATCTCTCTCTCTCTCCTCTACACTTCTCTCTTCTCCAGGCGCATGCACGCTTACTATAACCCACTTTTCACATCCAATCTTTATTTTACTCCACATAATCCTTGAATTAATACATTTGTAGTTCCTCTTTTCCTGCCATAGCTTATCCTTCAACATTATTGCTACTCCTTCTTTAGCTCTAACTCTATTTGAAACCCCTGACCTAATCCCATTTATTCCTCTCCATTGAAACTCTCCCTCCCCCTTCAGCTTTGTTTCACTTAAAGCCAGGACATCCAGTTTCTTCTCATTGATAACATCCACAATCATCTCTTTCTTATCATTTGCACAACATCCACACACATTCAGACTTCCCACTTTGACAATTTTCTTCTTCTTATTCTTTTTAGTAATCTTTACAGGAAAAAGGGTTACTAGCCCATTGTTCCCGGCATTTTAGTTGACTTTTACAACACACATGGCTTACGGAGGAAAGATTCTTATTCCGCTTCCCCATGGATATAAAAGGAAAAGTAATAAGACCAAGAACTATTAAGATAAAATCAAAGAAAACTCAGATGAGTGTGTATAAATAAACGTGTACATGTATGTGTGACCTAAGTGTAAGTAGAAGTAGCAAGACATGCCTGTAATCTTGCATATTTATGAGACAGACAAAAGACACCAACAATCCTACCATCATGTAAAACAATTACAGGCTTTCGTTTTACATTCACTTGGTAGGACGGTAGTACCTCCCTGGGTGGTTGCTGTCTACCAACCTACTACCTATTTAGCAGTTACAAGCACTAAAAACAATGGAATAATACAAAATACAGTGGACCCCCGACTAACGATCAGCTCCCAACTCGACCAATTATGTAAGTGTATTTTTGTAAGTGCTTTTGTAGGTGTATTTTTTGGGGGTGTGAAACAGACTAATCTAATTCACAGTATTCCTTATGGGAACAAATTTGGTCTATAACAGCACCTGAACAGACTTCTGTATTGAAATAATATCGTTAGTCGGGGGTCCACTGTATATCACATGTATGGGTGGAACCATCCTTAGTGGCTTGCAAATAATGGCTCACTGGCTGGTACATGGGGTGAGTGGCTGGTCTCGCTCAGAGCACCGTGTGGACACGTTTGGGACGAAAGCTCATAACCGAGTTTTTAGGTGTTATCCGAGCCAATTTTTTTGTGCCAAAGCGAGGCGTTATCCGATTTTGGCATTATCCGATGCAGGTGTTAACTGAGGGTCCACTGTATATGGCTGGGCTCAGAGTAGATTAAACTCATGAAACTCTTCAAAGGTAAGGTATACATCAAACACATTGGCTCATGAGGCGTATATATACGACCGAAACAGTCAACAGGTTAAAGTTGAGTTGCTAGGATGTCACCTTATTGCTGCCTTTATGATTAGCAATTGAGAGGCAGATATTTTATATACAGTGGACCCTCGGTTATCGGCCATAATCCGTTCCAGAAGGTCAACCTAAAACCAAAATGGCCGAAAACCAAAATAATATTTCCCATAAGAATTAATGTAAATACAATTAATCCATTCCAGACACCCAAAAATATTAACAAAAAATACATTTTTTTGAAGATTAACTATAGTTTTACATACACAAAACAATGAGAAAGAAATATAAAGCACTAATTTTACTAATAAATGAACATTACATACCTTTATTGAAGACTCTTGTTGGTGTATGGAAGAAGGTGAGGAGGGGTTACTTCCCTTCTTTGTCTTTTACTGCCACTAGGACCAGCTTGAGTTACTGCACCCCTGTTGCACAAAAAAACTGTCCACTCTCTGCCTGCCTGCTACACTCCCTGCATACCTGCTACACTCCCTGCATACCTGCTACACTCCTTGCCTCTCTGCTTGCCTGCCTTGAATTCTATTGTGTTTCTCACTTTCTTTACCAAAGGAACCTTACTAGGAACTTTCTTTGGGCCCATGGTGGCTTATTTCCACAAAAAACAATGGATTATAGCAAAATGTTTGGATGAATGCACAGAGGCTTCCTCACTGACCCAGGGACACAGCCAGACTGACTCATGAACGCAATGGAGTGGTGGGTGGACGTGTCCAATACAGCCAATAAGCGAAATAACGGCCGAAAACTGTGATAGAATTTCAGCCAAAAAAGCGGGCGAAAGCCGAATTGGCTGATATCTAGAACAGCCGATAACCGAGGGTCCACTGTACATATATTACATGTTGCCATAAGAGTGCTGAAGGGATCACCACCATCACTTCATGTAACAAATTCAGGACTGGTCGGTGTTTTCTGATGGTATTTAAGAGTTTTGGATGAAAGGAAATTATTTATCATGTGTGTAGAAATTATTGAGGCTGTTTGTATCCAAGCTGTGTAGGAGTATATATCTTCTTATTTTGTTTCAGAGGGCATAGGAGATGTAGTGAGAAGCCAGACGAAAGAATATGAACTGGAAGAACAGACTCTTTGTGTCATGATGGAAGAAAGTGCATCTCATCAGTGTTCACTTGCAGGTAACTTACTGTTTAGCATACAGATTTTCGTTGTTATATGTTCAGGTTCCTCGAACCACTGATAGGAATAGCAGCCTATCTAAATAATCTCTCTAACACCAGCAATACAAGGTACCATGTTTGACGTATATATACTCATAAATTCTAGTGGCTTCAAATCAAGCAAGAGAAAGCTGGTAGGCCCACATGTGAGAGAATGGGTCTGTGTGGTCAGTGTGCACCATATAAAAAAAATCCTGGAGAGCACAGTGCATAATGAGAAAAAAAAAACTCCAGCCGTGTTTTTTTTTTTTTTAATTAAAATGCCGACTTTGTGGTCTATTTTCGTATAGAATTTATGGTTGTATTCTCATTTTCTTGGTCTCATTTGATAGAATGGAAAGCATATTATAGAAGTAGAGGTGATTTTGATTGATTTTACTATAAAGAGAACCTGGAAATGGGGCTCAAAGTAGGGGAAATGTTTGATTTTTGCCGATGTTCAAAAGTAAACAAATGATGTCATTGTCCAATAAATGTCCAACTAGCCATTCTAATATGCAGTCATGAATGGGTTGATGTTATTTATACAATTATTACAGTATTGTAGTAGTCTACATAACAGTAAATCTTCTATTTTTTGTTTGAATAAAAATTCAAAATAGAAAGCAAGAGTAATATCAGAGGGGCCTGGAGACATGATTGATGAACAAGTGAAATGTTATTTTAGAGCCAGGAATGTCTGCATTGTTCGTTCTGGACCTTATTTTGAAATTGTCATATTTTTTTAATTTTCGTGAAATTGGCCAAATTGCAAATTCCTGACCATGTTATTTGGTAGTTGAAATCGGTAAATGGGCAGTTTCTTGTTCTCAATCGATAGAAAAAATGGAGTTCTAAAGAAATAGCTATGAGTTTGGTTGACCGGAACAATGGAATTAGCCGAAAATAGGGCTCAAAGTGGGCGAAATCACCGATTTGTAAATATTGCTGAGGTCGCTAATTTTGCAAGAGTGTAATTCCATCAGTTTTCCATCAAATTTCGTCTTTTTTGGTGTCATTACAATCAGGAAAAGATTCTCTATCATTTCATAAGATTTTTTTTTTTTTTTTTTTTTTTTTTTTTTTTTTTTTTTTTTTTTTTTTTTTTTTTTTTTTTTTTTTTTGCGACACCAGGAGACACCCCAGAATTAGGGGTTGCGACCGTCAAGGGGTTAACATGGTGATCGCTTTGTAGCACTTCACTAATACGGTGCTTTTCAGTTATATTCATGCTTATTATTTTTGGCACTTGCCTTGCTCGTAAGATGGTTTTTCGCAATTAAAAAAAAATTATTTTTTTTACTTTTCCATCATTTTTTAGGCCTAATGCTATAGTGCACTTAATATATCATAATGTAAACATGTTTTTAAGCTTCTACATGCAGTGGCAAGTGAATAAAAGGCTGTGATATACTTTAAGGCAATATGTATTTATTTTATGGCAGCAGTCTGAAGCCTAATCTGCCATATTAGTGAGAAATGTCTGTATTTAGCACACTTGCACTTCTTTTACTGCTTGGTGGCACAGGCCTCAAGTTTCATTTGGCTGCCTGTCTTGGCCTCTTAGCAAATGGATAACATTAACCCTTAAACTGTGTCCGATGTACTAGTATGCAGGTACTGGTACTATGTCCGATATATACCATTTTTTTGTACCTGCAAATCTGCCTCCTGCCAATATTTTTTTACCTCAGAGTAAATCATTGGGTCTTCCATCTACTCATACATACGTAAAAAATTTAAAGCCATCAGGGTTCACACAATGTATCATGGTTAGCTACTCAGGCTGACTAAGTCTGATGTACAGTGGACCCCTGGATTAAGTCATCGTCGGAATAAGTAATGTTTTTTCATCAAAATATTGGCTTGGTGAACATCACTGAACTCGGTATAAGTCATTCACTTTGGGGCCTGAGCAGCCCAGTGTGCCATTGGTTACCAGCCAGTGAGGACGATCCCGTGCTTTCATACGATACATTTTGTATTATTCCATTCTTTTTAGTGCTTGTAACTGCTAAATAAGCCACCATTGCTTCTAACTAATAAATAAGCCACCATGGGCCCAAAGAAAGCTTCTAGTGCCAGTCAACCCTTTGGTAAAGGACTGAGAGAGAGGGGAATGTGCCTTTCTCAGTGATTCTTCAATATGTACGATACTAAAACAGCAGGAGTCTTTAACCCTTAAACGGTCCAAATAGATCGATGTTCAAATCCATAGTGCTCCAAATGTAGATATATGTTTTTTTACATATTTTCAAATATAACAAAAAAAAATGTAGATAAAAGTTTTTTTACACATTTTCAAATGTAAAAAAAAAAAGATGATGTACATTTTTTTACATACATTCAAATGTTGAAAAAACGTATATATACGTTTGGACCATTTAAGGGTTAAAGGCTATAGTGCCAGCCAGCGATAAAGTATAGCATTAACAGTGTAGCAAGTTAGTTAAGCGATTAATTGATAGAAAAAGGACAGCACAAAACTGACTCCTCCATTATTGTTGGAGGTATATAGGGCTACTGACTAACACCACTGCCTCTTGCTGCCGCCTGCACCACCACTATGTAAGGCTTATCTTTCAGTGGCCCTTATACACCCAACAACGAACAACACACCACCACTTGTAACATTCTTAATGCCATATTTTCTTCATTCTAGAGTATATATCATGTTTCTATGTTATTAATATTGTTTTTTATGTCATATTAGATGAATTGTACTAGATAAATAAGCCATAGAACTGATATTAGTGTCATATTGAAGGACTGTCTTGTCCTGTCTTTCAGCAAAATTCCTAACATACACCAGAGACAGACCTCTCTGGAACACTTCTTTGAGTGACAGGGGTCCAGTGACTCTCAAGCTGGTCCTAGTGGCATTTACCCTTTCAGGGTCTGTGCCATAGTTCTACGGCTTTGAGTTGAGGGTCCAAACCGCAGATCTACGCCATGAGCTCAGCTCACTCTGATAAGCTGTGAGCGGTAAATTTGGGCCTAGATATGAGAGAATACGTCTAAGTGGTATGTGTGCACCACATAAAACAAATCCTGCAGAACACAGGGCATAATGAGAAGAAACTGAGCAGGTAACACAGTCAACAGCTGAGCAGACAACCTCAGGTTCTCCGTGAATCTGCACAACTGTACCAGCAGCTGAAAGAGGAGCTTAAGGTTGCTAAGCTTGAGATACGGCGACTGATGGAGGAGAACAAGAGGATTCGAAGTAATCCTCCTGTTGTGAGTCCTCAGGTCAAAAGAGGAACCTGGTCAGTGGCCAGCCAACATGGAACAAAGCTGAAAATCAAGAAGTCTGTTGGAGTGGTGGAAACAACGAAGATCCAGAAGATTGCTGTGGAGACTTCCAACCCATTTTCGGTGTTACCAGACGAATGTGGGTTGTCTACTGGGAACATCAAAACGAGCACCAAGGGAGCATTGGCAGACGTGAGTGAGACATCCCTTGATACCCCAATGAAGACCATCAAGAAAGTCATGACAAATTCCACAAATGAAGGTAAGAACATTGTTTTTATTTGGAGACAGTCAGGTTAAGTTTATGGATAGGGCCTTTTGTCTTAGGGACAGGAAGAGGAGGCTCAGGGTATGCTTTCCTGGGGCTGGGATGAGGGATATTGTTAGCCGTCTGGATGACATCACGAAAGGTAATGGGAGCAATCCTATTATCTGCCTCAGTGCGGGAGGCAACGATGTTGGCAGACGTAGGAGTGAGGACCTGATTAGCAAGTATAGGCCAGCAATAGAGATAATTAGGAAGAAGGGTGGGAACCCTGTCATATGTGGTATTTTGCCAAGGAGAGGAGTTGGAAACGAATGGTTGTCCAGGGCAATTGGTGTCAATTGCTGGCTGGACAAATACTGTAAGGAGAATGCAGTAACATTCATTGATAACCGGGACCTCTTCTATGGCAGAAATGACATGTATGCCAGGGATGGGGTTCACTTATCTAGGTCTGGGGTGGGGACACTGGCAATGTCAGTGGAGGGAGCTGTTAGGGCTTTAAACTAGGAGTATATAGTGGTATGGGTTTTGACGAAAATACAGTGAAGTCCCAGTATAGTAATACTATGAGTTCTAGGGAAACTAGTAATAGGCAGAATGAGGTGGATATTGGAAAGCCAGTGACACTAGGCAACAAGGACAGTAATAGGCTTAGTGAAAAAACAGATACGAGCAGGAAGGGTAAAGAGAAAAGAGGGTCTTTAAAATTATATTATGCTAATAGCCGTAGTGCTAGGAATAAGATGGATGAGTTGAGATTAGTTGCTAGTGGAGGTAACATTGATGTATTTGCAATCCCTGAGACATGGTTTAATTCCAAAAGTCAGGACATGCTTTCGGAATGTCACATTCAGGGTTTTAAATTGTTCCAAGTACAGTGGTCCCCCGCTTTTCGTAGTTCCCGGCAATCGTAAATTTCGCCAATCATAGGGGTATTTTCGTATGAACATGGACTCTCTTTTCATAGGTTGACTCGCGAGTCGTAGTTCGTCCGGGACGCGTACCCACGGCATGAGCCGTGGCGGCAGCCAGTCTGGCATTGTTTACCAGTGAGCGAAGGTCCCCTCACGTGCTCCAGCAAAATATTTCATAATATTCCATTTATTTTAGTGCTTGCAAGTACTAAATAAGCTACCATGGTTCCAAAGAAAGCTCCTAGTGCCAAGCCTGTGGTAAAGAGGGTGAGAAATACGATTGAATTTAAGAAAACCATCATTGAACAATATGAAAGTGGTACAAGTGTGGCCGAACTATCCAGGATGTATAAGAAACCCTACACAACCTTATGTTCCATAGTGGCCAAGAAAAAGGAAATCAAGGACGCTGTTGTTGCAAAGGGGGTAACTATGCTGACAAAAATGAGATCACCAGTACTGGAAGAGGTTGAGAAGTTATTATTGGTGTGGATAAATGAGAAACAATTAGCAAGAGATACTCTTATGACTTCGATTATTTG